CAAACTCAACCTCGAACCACCGCAGCCAACAGCCTGGCCTTCCAGCCCAAGCTCCCCCAGCACGGTGGAGCAGGCTGCGAGGGAGAATAAAAAAAATGAAAGGATAACACGGATTGGGGTTGCCCGCTCCAAGTTCTGCCACATCCTTCCTCCAGAAGCTATCTATCACCCCTGAAAATCAACCCACGCATGTATTTTGTGTCTAACCACCCCCGTTTGTAACCTGCAGCTGTTGTCAACAGAAAAGCCTTTTGAATATGTTAAGAAGACAAAAAAACCCACGTGTGTGCGCCAGAAAAAAAGAAGAGATGCAGGGCTTCCCCTACCAGAAGAAACGCAGTGTTTATCCAGGCTGCGCCCACACCAGCACAATACAACGATTCTGAGGAGACTTTGCACAACACGGGCAGCACAGCCTCGCCTTTGTCACACTCAGAGGATCCAGAAAAGGTGAAGTGCTGCAATTTCATTTATTTTTCCAGCAGAAAACATTAACAGTGTTTTCTCGTTCACAATCCCAACCCTGACAAAGGGGTGACAAACAGTGCACGACACCTTTCTTGTCAGCAAGCAACCCGAAAAAGTATGCTGTTGTGTGTCTTCACACAATAAAGGGTAGCATCTCTTCTCTTCCAGACATTTAAATTACTGATACAATAAACTTTTAATAAGATATTCCACAAACTCATTTTACAGCAAGCATAAAGAGTTTTAACCAATAGGAGCATTTTTCACAGATAAATTCCTTTCACAGTTAAACTCCTTTCACAGTTAAAAGTGACACTGTGGCAGAATGCTTTGGATGGTTTTTCTCACGCAAAAAGCTTTTTTTTTGGTCTGCATGGGATCTCACCTGCTCATCTCACTCATCACACCCTCCCGCACACGTGCCGTTCCCAAGAGCAGGTGTGCAAGGGATTTATCGTACTACAAAAAAACACATTGGGCTGCTGGAAATCACTGCAGGCTGACAGGGTGAGGAGGCACAGAGGTGGGTGGCTTTGGGGGGGCAAAGGGGGATACACTGACTGCAGAAGCAAGTCAAAAAACCAAGACAGAAGAGCAGTGGGAGGCAGAAAAAAGCCGCAAAGAGACGCTGAAGTACTGGGCTGCTCTGAAAACCCACGGGGGAGGGTGGATGGAGAAAACTTCAGCTAAAGACGGCAGCAGGGACAGGGTTTTCTATGAGGGGTACAGAGAGCTCTCGGAACAAGCAGCCAGAGAAAGGAGTGCGGGGAAAATCCTCCCTCGGGAACAACCAGGCTGAGCCAAGACCTCGTGTGGCATTAACCCCTTCTCCGGGGAAAGGAGCAAAGGTCCGAGACGGGAACATGCCGTCCCTTCGCTGGCTTTCTGGAGGGACCGGGGTAACCCCTGCCAAAGGCCTGAGGAAAGCGCGGAGGATTTTTCTACACGATGACAGAGCAAAGATGTCGATGCCAAAAAAAATTCCACCCCTCAATTGTTGTTGGCAACTAGTGCTTCTAGTGAGAGATTATTCCGCCAAGCACCAGTACACCAAGACAACAGTCACCCCAGGGCACGCACCAGTGCGCCTTATTTCTGTAAAATACCACTTTCCTCTGGCTGCTGCTGGCTGTGCTCCCTCTGCCGGCGCTGAAGCGGGGGACTGGGATCTTTGAGAGCTTTCCCGCCAGGAATGACTTCTTAAAATCCAGGTCTGAAGTGTGGAGGACAAGGCATTCCTCTTCCTGAACACAATTAGTGGTGAGATTGGTGGGAAAAAACACCCACCCAACCATCAAGTTTAAGAAGCAGCTCAATGCAAGGAGTAATTTGCAGCGAACACTTTAGCCTGAGTAGACACCTTATAGGAGCAGCATGCTCTCCATTAAAAAAAACCCAAAAACATTGTAATACCACAAAACAGCTATTCTGAACAGAAACATTCAGTGCATCCAACAAACTCCCGCTCCCATCGCTCACCTCAGCCTGGACACCCTACGCGGAGCGCAGTCGGATTGAGCGAGCGGTGAGCTGAAAACTAAAACTCAGCAGCCGTCCCACCCAACGCCACGTGGCGCCCCCGAAATAAATACAGGGGAAACCCCCCTCCCCCGGGCCCCACCAAACACCACAAACAACAGCTGAAGGCAGAGTCGCCTTCCCAGTCACACCAAATATATTCTCAGTAAGGCAAATGTGCTGCAATGTGGTGGTTCCTCCTTTATTTACCAGCAGGTTTTGGCCACCACTCGGGTATATTTGCAGTGAGCTTCACTTTATCGCCCGCTCTACTGAGGCAGAGTGGTTCATTTATAGTAGCTAACCTCAGCAAAGCTATACCGAGTTCACCTCCTCCAGCCCGGAACTTGCCGGCCGACTTTCCCGATTCGGTGAAGATCTCGGCACCCTCGGGAATGCCATCCTCGGGAAGAGGAGCTGAGAAGTGGACTGGCAGTTTTTTTTTACACCCATGTGGTGGGTCCTGGCTGTCAACTCCTGTCCAATGTAGCAGCCTTTGGTGAAGCTGATGCCATTCATGTAGGCCAGGTTTGATTCCAGAGGGAGGGCGACTCCAGGAGGGAGATCCTTCACACCTTCGGGAACTCCTAGGAAAAGAGTAAAACCAACAGGGAAATGCAGTTAAGATCTTTGATATTTAAGATTTCTGGAGTCTGCCTCGTTTGTGAGTTGTACCACCAGGAGAACCCATGAGCAGCAGCGTGAAATAATGAACTTCCCAGTACTCCCATTGGGACCCGAGTGAAAGCCATAGGTGGTGCTGACACTTAAGGGTAAACAGAGAACTGCGCTAGAACCTGATTTCAGGAAGCTTACAGCACCTCACGAGCGTGCTGGTGGAAATCCAAAGCACCGAGAGCGATGCAGACTCCCATGCAACGCCAACGGCAAAGCCCCTCTCACCCACAGCCGCAGGCAGACTTTAATGTCAACAGGAGTTATTTCTTCACAGCTAAAGAGCACCATTTTGGCCTTTTTTAAAGCCCGAATGCCAAAGGTCTGTATCATTAGCCCCCTTTTTTTTTGGTGACCAATGACACAAAACCAGACTTTTTTTGAAGCAGAGTGTCGGACCCAGCCTTCCGCAGCAGGGAGGCGGCACAGCCCCGCAGCCCAGCCCAGTCTGACCCATTAACAGCTCGCACTGGCTCAGGTTGAAGCAGAGGACCAGTCTGCCAATTAATTTAATCCGCTCTCTGCGTGGACACAGTGAAATCGATGGGAGCTCTGCGCAGGCACAGGGGCTCCCGGGACCAAGTTCTCTCTCAAATCGCTCGTCCGTCCCTTGGCCTCTGAGTTAACCCTGCGAATCCAGCCGTAGATTTTTAGGAAAGCACGTTAGGGTGTTTCCTTTTCCTTCCTTAGCAACAAGGAAAACACACAGACGATGCGTAATCCCAAAACAATCCAAATGACTCAAAACACAGAAGTTTCCCTCTAAGAAAATGAATAATCCTGGTTTTCTTTGGCTGTTAGCGTTCCTGACCCACCACCCCATAATCTTAGTAACAGGAAACTGTACCCAAATGTTGATTCTGCCACCAGATCACTTTTATCCTCAAAGTAGCAAATAATACCTGTACTTATTAACAAGCTAAACACACTGTGACATACCAGTGCGGCTTTTATAATTTATTCCTCTGTCTGATCTCAGCGTATGGACTCTGATAATAAGATGAAACTGTGAGAATACGTGAAGAAATGTCCCCAAAAAGATGAAACCGTGATCATACGTAAATAATGTCCCCAAATCCAGTGACACAGGGTGTAAAACAGGACGTGGCTTTACCTTGTTTATACCTGTGCCTGTGGTAATCCTGAATGTTTCCAAGATGACTCCCGGGGATAATCTCCGACAGATTTGCTCCCTTCTTTGTAATCAGTCTCCAGCCCATGACTTCGGTTCTGGGGTCAGGAGTTAACACCAAAGCCTGGTCTGCACGTTGAGTGAGGGAACTGGTAGTGTCTCCAGCCACCTCCCCGGGGAGGATGGCCCACAAAGAGAGGTCAAGGCAAGGGGTGATGTTTACTTTCCTCCGGATCTTGTACAGTTTCAGATGTTTTTGTAAGGCGTCCAGCACGCCGCCGTCGCACTCCAACAGGATGTGCGGCTCTTCTTCCGGACTCTCGTGAAGCCTAAAAAAAGGAACACCTACAAGGTCAGCAAAACAAACCCCCCACAGCGGCGGAAGCCAACGCGCTTTATCCCGAGCCCAGACCTCCGGGGAATTTCCCCGCAGGCTGCTGGTGCACGCGAGAGCCGCGCTCAGCTCCTTGTAGTGAAACACCCGGCCTTTCGTCAGCCATTTGTTCTCCTTTTTTCTAGGAAATATTGTCCTCGCCATTCCTGGGGACAGAACCAGGCCCGGGCGTAGTTTTGTGCCTACAGCCAGGTGGCTTCCAGCCGGAGGAGGACCTTCCTTCAGCC